ATGGTTTCTTCTTGATGGACAAGCAATAGGGTATGCAGTTGCAGAGATCCATTTATGGACTCAAGCAAGCTTCATGAGTTGAACATTCGTTTTGATGAAGCCGTAAAAGAATTCGGTTTTATCAAGAACGAAGATGAGCCTTGTGTTTACAAGAAAGTGATGTGAACGCAGTAGTACTCCTAGTGTTGATATTCGATGACATACTTCTGATCGGGAATGATATACCGAACTTGCAGTCGGTAAAGACTTGGTTATCCAGTGCTTCTCCATGAAGGACTTAGGGGAAGCAGCCTACATCCTTGGGATAAAGATCTATCGTGATAATCGCGTAGTTGTTTGGCCTAATCAAGTGCATTATTGACAAGGTACTGAAAAGATTCAGTATGGAAATCAAAAATGATTTCTTCCAATGTCCATGGTGTTTTCTTCTAAGGAATTGTGTCCTAGAACACAAGATGAGAGAGATAGGATAAAATGATCCCATATGCATCAGCAATTGATCCATCATGTATGTCATGTTATGTACTCGGATTGATGTCTCGTGTGCTTTGGGCACTTGTAGTAATATCAATCGGATGAGGTGAGCGTCACTGGATGGCTGTCAAGATATTCTTAAGTACCTGAAGAGGACTAAGGATATGTTTTTGGTTTATGGAGGGGAAGATGAGCTCACTGAAGAGCATACAGTGATGCTTTTCCAAATGGACAAATGATTATCATCGCAATCAGGGTTTGTATTTTGTCTAATGCGGTGCGTGAGTTGGAAGAGCTCCAAGCAAAGCACTGTAGCGGACTCTACAATGAGGCTTAGTATATTGCTTGTCAATGCAACCAAGAGGCAGTCTGGATTAAGAAGTTCATTACTGAACTTGGTGTGGTTCCCACGATTGTTGATCCTATAGACATCTATTGTGACAATAATGGAGCAATTGCTCAAGCCAGGAACCATGGTCTCATTAGAAGTCCAGACACATACTCAGACGATTCCATCTCATCAAGAGATAGTTGAGAGAAAGACATGTAGATTAGTAAAGTGCATACTGAACAATCTCGCAGATCCACTGACAAAGCCTCTGTCGCAACAGAAGCATGAAAGGCACTTGAGATCATTTGGTATTAAATACATGAATGATTGGCTATAGTGCAAGTGGAGATTGTTAGAGTAGATGCCCTAGAGCCAATCAATTTTGTGAATTGACTCTTTGTAATAATTTCATTAATCAATATAAAAGGCATTTTATTCTATATCGCGTAAATCATTATTATGGCAATATGTATTGATATAGTCCTTAGAAGGTAGAACCGTGACGAGGGCATCAAGTGTTTCAAATCTTGATAGTAAGAACCCTATGAGCACATATGGTGGCCATTCTAGAAACGTCCTAGCCCCAATATTATTCTAAGTAAGGGCACAGATAATACGTAAAGCTATCATAGTGTTGAACAACCCTTCGAAAGACAGTGACTGATCTCACTTGTCAAGGTTGTTTGTGACAGCCTGGTGCAACACATGGGTGCTTGCTGTAGGCGAATACACCGCAGCAAGTTCACTGGACTGCCCCACCAAAGATTCTATGGATGATACCCTAGTGTTTATGGAACATCCTCTAACGACTGGTGGTGCATGTGATCTTAGACTTGAGATCATCGGGCCCCTTGTGCACCGATTGTGCAGTTTGACACTAGCCTACAGTTCTATTCAAAGTTTCAATACGATGGTGATTGGTTGCATCAAGGATGTGTATCAAGACTATGGTGGATAGATCAGAGGATTCATCACTCCTGGGTAAGGAGAAGTTATCTCACGGCGCATTCAGTATATGGCAATGACACTAAACTGGGCCACAGTGGGTTAGTTGTTGCTCATCCAGTTTATAATACTGTCATTGTCCAGAAACTGAATACATAATAGTCGAGATAACCGAAGGTTACAATATTTTATGCCTTCGTCTCGTCGAGATAACTTAGTAAAATGATCAATGTACTAACCATATCATTGACAGGTAGCTAATTTGTTGAATCCATCTATCGGTGGCCATAATGCCTTGCTAGGGGCCAATCTTGGTCTGTGTATTAGTGAGACGATTAATTGGTGTTAATCCCGATACTATACACTACGTATGATGATAGGCCTATGGGTCACACACATAGAAGATAATTTAAGACTCAGGAAGTAAGAAGGCGTTTTCGTCTTTTTAGGTGAAAGGGTATTTTGGTAATTTCACAGTAAAATTAATTTTCTGAGGTGTAGCCTTTTGTTTAATTTTTAGAAAAATTAAATAGTAAAATTACATTTAAATATTGTTAGCATATATCTAACTAATTATCATTTTATTAATGTTAATATTATTATATATATATATATATATATATATATAATATATATATATATATATATATATTATATATATTGATTTTAATTGAGATAGGATGAATTAAATAATATCTAATTGAGAGTGTTTGGAAATATAGGTGATTGGGTTAAGCCCAAGCCTATTCTATATGGGAATAGGGCAATTAAAATATTACTATAAAAGAAAATTTTTAGTTGTAAAACATAGAGATTCATTCATTTGATTTTCATTAAAAGAGAAAACACACACCCCAATACTCTCCCACGCCACTTTTAGTTTTGATTGAAAAATCAAATACTCCTCATTTCTTCTTTTTTTAAGGCTAAATAGGATCTAGCAAATCTCTCTTTATTCATTGGATTATTTTCGTGTGAACTATATCTGTTCGATCTACACTGGGTCGGTAGCAAATACATTAGAGACAAAGTTGGAAGAGCCTCCAAATGTGCTTAGATTCCTTAAACCTTGAAAAGATTTCTCTCAGATTTAATTTATTTATATTGTATAAACTGTGTTTTTATATTCAATCTTGGTTCAAGAACGATCTGTTTTTTGTATTTTTATTTTCTCTACGTAAATGAGTTGTTTACTAACAAACCTCCGACAAGACACAAATTCGAACAATTCTTAAGAACATCAATGCTGTTACTATTCATAAAAATTTCGTTCTTTCCCAACTCTCTCACTTTGTCGTTTCTTATACCTGCTCATCTTTGTCCCAGATTTATTTGGAGAACTTCAATTTGCTTTTTAGTTTCTTTCAAAACCCCATCTTAATAAAGTGAATCACTATGTATCTATGAATTATTGTCAAGAGTAAAACTATAGATATCGTCGTGAAGTGTATATAGTGATGCTGAGAAATGAATTATTAGTTTAATCAATTTAATAAGAAATAACAATAATAAATATACGCATACAGGTTTATTTATGAGTGATGTTATTTGTCCCCCATATTTTATCGCTTCGAAGTTCAAACCCCAATTGTTATTAAATTCTTAATTATAATTTTAACCCTTATTAAAATTATTAACAAGATATCAAAGAGTTATAAAGTATTTAAGAATTTTATTTCCTCTTTCAATTATAAACCCTAAACTATTTTCAAATAATAAAGTGGGATTTATGCAATTGAAAGAGTTTGGTTAAGCTCATGTACGTACAATGGATATGGAATTTATGTTTGGCATTTACGTGTTGTTTTGTTAAATTTTCTTTTCTTTTTCTTCTTCTACGCTTCTCTAAAATTTATACATTATTTTGATGCATTTAAATTTTTTAATTATTATTTTTACAATTATGGAAGTATAAACACATATGAATGAATTTCATCTTTAAACATTACATTCAAAATAAGAAGGATAAAATATATGAAAAATATAAATAAAAAGGTACTTTTAGAAATAGGTGAGGTTTATGAAGGCATTTGCATATATTAAAACATTTTAATGGAGTAAACTTAGAAGCAGGGTTTTGAAAGATAAAATATGGGGTGTCGATAGCTTTACTCTTCTTTATTTACATATTTTTTCTGCATTAGATTGTGAGCTTCTCTTTTATATCTTATATTTTGATGTGTGGTGAACGTGGTTGCAAAATTTCTTAGTTCTTTTGTTAATGAATTCGAAAATCATTTTTCCAAAGAAAAAGACTAGGTATCTAGGACAGCAAAGTGGAAAGTAGAGTACTATTGAAATAGAACCAAATTAACTAATTTCAATTTCAAGCTCATTTCGGATTGAAATCAGTCCAAACCAAATGTCCAAATCGATAGACATTGAAATTGTACCAAATCGGTCATTTATATATTGTATTACGAATCGGTTGATTTAATCACGCACCTACCACTCTCTAAAAGCTTATGGGTGCCATGTTGAGAGTATCCAAAGTTATTATAATAGTATATTTATTTTTTATAAAATAAAATAGTAATTTACACAAGATAGAAAGTTGATGAGTTGTCAACATTATTAAATGTGATTTTTTTAACTTTTAATCATAACCACTGAAATTGAAATGGATGAATGGATAAAAAAATTTACTTAAAAAATATACCAGACCCACCCCTACCACTATCAACTTTAAAATCTCACATATTAGAGAAAAAAAATCTTGAATAAAATGCCACAAACCAATATATTCATTATACTTCTAAATTCGTTAGATTTTATTTATTATATTTACATTATATAATCGATAAATATTAAATATAACAACTACATCATATCAATATACTGATTTGTGATGCTAAATCAGCAATACCGTCATAAATATCAAATGTAATTGTTATATAATTTTGATTATTATGAATTAGAGAATTAACTAATACATTAATAAATGTTATCCTTTGGATAAGGTTGACCTAATATAGAGTGACCTGTAAAAATGTGAAAAACTTCATATTTTTCCCAATTTGTTACAAGAATCAAGAATCCGACTCAAACCCACGTCAGTCACTGTCCCTATTGAAACTGGCAATGCAAAGGTAGTGTGCTTAATAAAGCAAAATAGACATGCAAAATTGCCATGTTTTGCCCCTTTCAAGCATGTGCTAAACGTGCAATATGGGACAACTTTTCCTTCTGTAAAACAACTAATCCCATGATGGAAACAATCAAAATCCAACTCTATATAAATGGGTTCTTTTCTCCTAAATTTGCATGCCAATTCATCTCATTTTCTCCTCTTTATAACCAAAAGAAACACATTCACAATGCCAAGCTCAACAGTCACTACCACTTCAATGGCTGTGACTCATGGCCATTACACAAAAACCCAATTTGTAGCGGCAAAAATTGAAGATGATGAAGAAGAGAAATTCTTAACACAAGAGTGTAAGGAATTGCTTCTTTGTCTTCCAAGACAGAAGGGTTGGAGAACTCCATATCTTTATGAATTCCAGGGCTTTTGGTGCCAGCCGAAGGAGATTCAAGCCATTCTTTCTTTCCAAAACCACTTCATATCTCAAGAATCCGATGTCATTTTAGCCACAATACCAAAATCAGGTACCACTTGGTTGAAAGGTTTGGTTTTTAGCATCATGAATCGTAAACGTTTCGATGTTATCGATTCAAAAGCTCACCCTTTACTCCACTCAAATCCTCATGATCTCGTGCCTTTCTTCGAGTACAAGCTCTACTCAAACAACCAAATCCCCGACCTCTCAAAGTTCCCCGACCCTCGACTTTTCGCCACCCATATCCCATTCAATTCGTTAATGCTGCAAGAATCGATCAAAAACGCCAGCCCGAAGATCGTTTATTTGTGCCGAAACCCTCTTGATACTTTCATCTCTTCATGGCATTTTGTGAACAACTTGAGACCAAAATCTCTGCCCCCATTTCAAATGGAGGAAGCTTTCAAAATGTATTGCGATGGAATTATTGGGTTTGGTCCATTTTGGAAGCATATGTTAGGGTATTGGAATGAGAGCTTGAAGCATCCCAACGGGGTTTTGCTCTTGAGGTATGAGGAAATGAGAGAAGACACTGTTTCGAACTTGAAGGAATTGGCAAAATTTTTGGGGTGTCCTTTTTCGGTGGAGGAGGAAAAGGAGGGAGTGATCAAAGAGATAGCGAAGTTGTGTAGCTTTGATAAAATGAAGAATCTGGAGGTGAACAAATCGGGGAAATCGATCAAGAACTTTGAGAATAAGCACTTGTTTAGAAAGGGTGAAGTTGGAGATTGGGTGAATTATTTGTCTCCTTCGATGGTGGAGCAACTTTCTCAAATCATGGAGGAGAAGTTGGATGGCTCTGGTCTCACATTCAAGCTCTTTTCTTAGGAAGTTTAAGGCTAAAATTTATCGTTCTCGGAGGGAAGAATGGACAAGTAAAACATCATCGATATTATCCATAAATAAAATCGACCTATTATATATATGAATTTAATTATGATTGATTAGGTTGTTCTAAAAAATACATATGTAACAAGATTTTATCATTTAAAAGTGTGATATTTCTATTATATATATATAATTCGATCCAGCTCATACGTAACTTAATTAATCTTTGACAACCTTAAAATTATTGGCCGAATAAGAGGTCTAATAACTATCGCTTATTAGTAATCGATAAGGAGCTTAAACTTAGAATATTTTAAGTAATATATCCGAGAGTCCTTATCGAATTACTAAACCACCCAGATGTTGTAATTAAAGTATAATATGTTTGCTCCACGTGTAGGTTTCACGTAAAAGATTTTTCTTTTTTCTTATATATTTGTATGTTTATGAAAATTTTCTTTTATGGGAAAAATGAAGGAATTGATGTGTCATTTTATCCACACCACCAAATCCAACTACTGTTGATAAGGTGGGGCCTTCTCGTTTTGAATGGATGAAACGAATCAAAACCTTTTCTACTGTAATTATAAGTTTAAAAGTGGCAATTTGCACATGTATTTTATATTTTTATTGGTGATAATAAGCCACTATTTCCTTCACTGAATCTCTAGCAATTTAATATGTTTGTTGATGTTGGTACCTGTCAATATTCTTAAATTAATTATCGATGTCTTCAATTAGCTAAGACTCAAGTAGTTCAGAAATAAACAGAGACTTCTCTGAATCTTCCATCACTAAGTAATTTTATGAGTTTAAAAAATAGTCTATTTGTAAAGTCTCTAAGAAACAAAAAAAACAAAAAAACTTATTACAAATTTCTAATAACTATTAAGTTAAATTACTTTTTTTACTAATAGACACCTCTATGTAACAGATAATCATCAATAGATGATTATTGATCACTTAATCGAGGTTTTTATCGGATAGAGTTTGTTTTGTATCAAGACTCTATCCTATGAAAACCTTATTAGTTTCTATTGGTTAAGTAATTAGTAGTCATCTATCTATTATTATTTATCATGGATAATTCTTTATTAATTAGTATATGTGATATTGAGTTTTTAGTTAAAGAGTAATTTGGTCCAGTATTGAAATTTTGAAATATGGATTATTTTTTTAGTAATATTGTACTTACAAAGATCTCTATACAAAGTGATGCAGTAAAAAATAAATGAAAGAGTAAATTTAATGAATTTGATTTTTTATTTTATTATTTTATTTATTTTTTATCATTTCACTTTATATAAAAATCTTTGTAAGATTTTTTTTTTATAAATATAATATTATTGTTATTTTTTTAAATATTTTTAAAAACATGATATCGAGACCCAAAAATGGTTATTTAATATAATTTGGGCAAGGGCAGAACAGAAGAAAAATATCTATCAAATAGAAAAAGTGTTCATTGCCTTGCAGGTCCATTATTGTACTGTTTAAAAAGGATCTGAAAACACGATCACATCAGTCATCTACAACTTTGACTACTTAGACTCCTAATATTAAAAAATTGGGCAAATATCCATACATTTTTCTTTAGGTTCTGCCGACTATTCTACAGAAACTCCATTTAATTCACATGCCTCCCTAATTATTACATGTTAATGTTAACAAAAAAAAGGGGTCTAAAAGGGAAAAGACGAAATTACCCTCTAAATTATTATCTTCAAGCCACTTGTCCAAATTTAATAATTAATATTAGTATATTAAAGGGGTGTTTGGTTGGGGGTAATGTGGGATTACTAGAGTTATGTCATCTTATATTACTTGATTATCATGTTTGGTTGTCAAATAATATAAGATTTCGATAATCTTCAAATACCAATATTAGTTACTGTTGGTAATATTGGAGGTAATCTGATTATCTCAATTTTCTTAGGTATTCTAAGATTACTAAGGTAATCTTTTTTTTTTTTTTTTTGTTACAATTCTATCCCTTATTAATAAAATTTTAGGACAGTAATGCCCTTATTTTTAAATTTATTTACATGAATATGTTTTTACTGTTTCACCCCACTTAATTAACTTTTAGGATAAAATTACCCTTGAATTCAAAACAAATTGCAACCCACCAAGCCACCACCCCCACCCACCTGCCACCACATGCCGTTGACAACTACAGCAGCAGCCGTGCGCCGCCGGAACGGTGTACAGAAGGCCAAAAATGATTGTCATGCACCGATATGGTCATTTTCGACCAGATTGTGCCATATCTGGCCGTTGACAGCCAGATCCGTCGATCTGGTCATCAACGGCCATCAATTTGGCCGTTGACGGCCAGATCTGTCACACCTAGCCAGTTCTAGCCAGATCAATGACTGTTAATGGTCACGTCTATGGCCATCAACGGCCATTGATCTGGCCGTTGATGGTTAGATCTGTCACGTCTGGCCATTTCCAGCCAGATCTCCGGCTGGAAATGGCCATACGGCACACGGAGGCCATTTCCTGCCTTCCATGCACCGTTAGGTTGCCGGTTGCCAGCGGCCTGCGGTGGTTGCTGGCGGTCGGCAGTGGCTGGGTTGGTGGGGGTGCTTTGTTGATTTTTCAAACTTTTATTATAGGGTTGTTTTCGCTAAGTTTTTAAATGCATGGGAGTTATAATAATCCAAATAATAATCAATATTAAAAAATAATATAATAATAATATTTAATTAGAGGACAATTCAGTAATTTAAATAACATACCCACCAATTTATTCCTCCCAACCAAACATATTAATATAACATACCCACCAATTAACCAAACACATTTTCCTTAAGATTCCCAGTAATCTTCATGTTAATCTAACTTTTCAGTAATCCAACATTTTATGAACTAAACGCCCCCTAAGGGTTATTATTGTAATATGACACATACTACTGTTAACACAAGTTGTTACCCATTGACTTAATACAATCTGATGGCTTGAAAGAGAAGTTAGGAATAGTTGTACTTAAAGACACTAATACCAATCAAAACCACTAAATTGAGATTATTAATTATTTTCTTTTTGGTAGTTTTTAACATAAAGAATTTTGATGTGTATATTGTTTTATTTCAATTTTTTTTTAAACAATAAAATTATTTATACATGGATATTTCAGTAATTTAAAATATATAAATTATAGTAAACGGTTTTAAATTGTCAAGTGTTATCTCATGACCTTTTCTAATAAAAATATCCTATAAATTATAAGTTTATGATATAAGTGTGATCTAGTTGATAATAACCCTTAAATTGACAAAATTGTAATTAAAAGAGTAAACGACTTTTTCCCACCCAAGATTTGGCTTAATGACATTTTCCCACCAAAAAAGTTTCAAAATACAACTTTACTGTCCAAACGTTATGGTGATGTTAATAATTTCTGTAAATACAGTGGTATTCATTGTGAAAACGAAAATACCCTTTACTATTTGACTTAAATTTTTTTTATTAATTTTGTCATATCAACAGAGTCAATTACTAATATACCCATTCTTTAAATATGAAATTACTGATATATATAACTTACAAATTTGTCCCTCAAATTTTCATTAAAAATAATGTTGTAAACAATAAAATTTACAATTAAACTTGTGAAGATAGAATCTTGTGTTGCGAGCCACTGACAATCTTGATGGACCTGTGGTGGGTGCTCTTACGGTTGAAGGGGGCTTTAGCAAGGTCGGGACATCGTCGAAATATGCTAAGAGCTTGGGAGTAAGAATATCGGAACTTTGGGGTGATTTCTGAATACCTAACGAAAGGGTTTGTCTCTGTTTATATAGTGAACCCAAGGGGTTCGAATCCTAGTAAGATTGTGAATCTTACTTGGTGTGAGAGTTCTCCTTTTGGAAGGAGATTTTGGGTGAGGTCAGGGATCTTAGCAGAAGAGGAAATTGACTAGAATTCAGATCCTAATTGTGGACTACTGTGGACGAATGGGCCGAACCTAGTTCAACCTAACTCGTGGGATGACCCAACTTATAAAGCAGACAATTCATAAGGTATACTAAGTGTGGGCTCAATCGGAATCGAGCCAAGGTCTTGGGCCGTGACACATTTATAATGTTATTGGACCTTGTCAGGTCCAATATGATTTTTAGCCCATCCAAATGTTAATATAAAATATGAAAAAACCCTAGTTGTTTTTTCTTGTCTTTTCTTTTCCTTTTTTGTTTTCTTCCATCTCTTCTCGTCTTCTTCTTCTTCTCCCTTTCATTTACATATTCTTCTCTCTATCTTATATTAGTTTATTTTTTTTAATCACTTTCTTCACAATTTACAATCCAAAACAAACACCAATCCATAATACAACCAACAATAATCAAATTCCTATTCAATTTGAACACAATGAACGGACAAAACAAAATAATACACGATTGCAGGCAGCAAAGTCGTGACTGGTGTTTAGTGAGCAATAAATCTTTGGAGCGATAAGGGTTTTGTAGGGGAAGGGCCAATGAGTATGTGGGTGGTGACATGAGCGATTTTGGCCATCGGAATCCCACTTGAAGAGGAAACCCTAATTCTTTGCATCAATCGGGGAATGGTGGTTGGAAATGGTGAGGGCTAAGAAGGGTTTTGGTGATATAAGGACGCTGAAGCTAATGGTGGTGTTGGGGAAGACCAATTCAGTTAGGAAGGAACCGACTAGATCGAGCCATGATGAAGGCTAAGAAAAACTATCAGGAAGGCCTTGACTCGTTTAGCCCTCCAATGAGATGACTGACACTGATCACAAAAGAAATTGGTATGGCTTCAGGTTTGGATCTTAGAAAGAAAACATTAAGGAAAGAAAGAAAAGGATGAAAGGAAAAAAAAATAGGAAAGAAAGAAAAGAGAAGGAGAGAAGAAGTGAAAATTACAAAGAATAGGGAGAAAAAGGAAAATTAATTTTCATTCTCCCTTTTTTTCCTAAATCAATTTAATGGGACACATGGTAACTATTTAGCCCTACAATTACTAGAGGTTGCAGTAGGTTGTGTCGTGCCTAAAAATTCAAGACTCATCGTACTATGGGTCATGCCATGCCAAGACCCTCAAAAATTCATGCCCTATCATGCCATGCCGGCGCATCAAATTTGAAGGCCCTTAGCATGGCCCACTATATTCTGTGTCGTGACTTGGGCTGTGCCATGGGT